AAAAAACAAAGGTTTTCGGTATTACCATCTTATTTATCCAGAGGCCTCTCATCCTGCTGTTCGCAGACAGATCACAAACGCAGTTGGGCGGTCCGCTGCTCCAGACACCCACAACTCTTCACGTGAAGAAAGCCCCCCTCCAGTTCAGGGAGAGCCCCCCCAACAAGAAAACTGAATTTTAAGAAAAGGTCTAAGGAGTCTTTTAAGGAAGAAGCCCGCCCACATAATACCTCAGAATGTGACTAAAAAGGTCACAGATGCAGCCAGAGGTTTAGAGGATTTTTCTAGGTTTTACACCATTGGTGAAAGCATAATAGTACCTTTTCCTTTAAAAAAAAACACAGGGCACCAGCCAGTGGTCATTGTTTACCCCTACCAAGACTGTGGGAGTGGAACAGCAGGGAGACTGCTCAGGAGCACCCCAGTGACTTCCAGTTAAAAACATCTTACAGGAGCAAGGAACGAGTCCCACAGCTCAAATCCAGGCCATATCACCAGCTGAGAGTGGCCAGCACACTGTCAGCCAAGCACCACTTGGCAAGTGAGAAAGTCTATTGTTCCTCAGACAATGGTGCTGGGGCTTCGGCCCGGTTATGGCAGATCTTCTTCAAGGGCCGAGGCACAGCACTCGAGCCCAGATTTCATGCAGAACTGGAAAGAGGGTTCTACTCCAGTACTCCAGCGCCAGTTGCTCGCCAGGCAGGCCAATTGTTGAGGTGAAGCTCTCACTGCCAGGAGGTGCCCACCTCAAGTCCAGACTCTGCCGCCCACTGACTGAGCTCAAGGGAGTTGAGTAGCTCACTCTGGGTGGGACATCTGAGTCCTGTACATGAGACACCAACCCAAGGGGCCAACGGGCACAGTTCGCAGCAGTGATTGATCGCTGCCTAGTCATTTTGGAAAGAAGCACCTATCCAAGCGGTTTCTCTCAGCTGCCAAATACCATGAGCAATGTGGGTTCACTGTCAGGGGGACTGTAGCACTGCATCACCATGAATACTGTCATACCTTAACAAATCTTTAAAAGAGTAACACTCTTCCATATATACACTATACAAAACTGAGAAAAGAACAGAAGACAAGAGATCCCTGCTCCTTCTCTTCCTTCTCTCTTAGCTACCAAGGAAACTAAAATGGACCCCTTATTTCCTGCAATTCCCTCTCTGCTGCTTAATTAGCTGGCCTGTAATTGCTTTGTGTGTTGTAAATTCCACTGTAGGCAGAGATATAGCCCTATATCTTATCGCATAAAGTGCAGCAGATGCAGAGAACCTGTGGTCGACTTCTTAGTCAGTGTATGTGGAGGCTGGGGCTTTGCCATTAAGGTTTGCGTTTTTTATTTGCTTTTTGAGTCACTCACTTGTTATCGGGAGAAGAAAAAAAAACAGGCTTCGCGTTTCAACCTAAACACTCGACACAAAGCTCCATGCTAGGTAAAGTACTGAAGCCTTAGTAACCAAAGGACTTAGTATCATTTATGTCCTGTTAGGTGACACCGTTCCACCAGTCTGTCTCATTGTAATGAAACTGGCAGCACGGCAAAAAGAAAGAAAACAAAAATACAATAGGATTTCTCAGAAATAGCAGTATTAAATCCATCCTGGGAAAACCACATCTTAGCGAATGACTGAAAAAAAAAACGTCATTGGCTATATTTGCTGACACAGCCCGGATATCTTTGGCTGAAATTACTGAGAAGACGGAAGCCAAACCCTCAGACTCACTCGTACCTCTCCGCGGCCCCGCTCCGCACAGCCAGCCCCACGCCAAAGGACAGGAGAAGCCCTGCACTCCGTCCCCTCCTTCGCAGCACACAATAGCGACCAAGAAGAAGCAGAACTCCCAACCCAACACAAAACACTGCCAAACCTATTTGCGCCCAGCAAGTGGGACAACGCTGAGAGAAAAGCTCTAGAAAACTAGAGGCCATTCAGCCATTAACCCATCCAGGAAGCACTCAGGAACATTTTAAAAGATCCGACTGAATGTGCATCGACATGGCTGAGCAGCCTGTTCCAAACATCCGCCAACCTTTGTGTAATAGGAAGAGACTCGCGTTTCTCAGTCCTAAATATGCTATGTTTTCATTTCCATTTGTGTCCACAGCCTTTACATTCATTGCGTGATGAAGGCTATTCAAACCTTTCAGGATTTTGAATCCTTCTGGAGAGTTCTCTTTTCCCACCAGGCTATGGAGACCAGGTCCCATGGATGACAATGGCTTTTCTATGATCAAAGTGAGGACTGACAAACGTCTTTGAATTGGTTTTGTAAAACTTTAGCAGGACACAAATCCCGCCATAACTTAAAATGAACAGGAAAAGACGAGTAAACCATCCTGTGTGGGAAAACAGTCCAGTGACTTAAAACTGATACAAAAGCTACCCTAATCACCCCTACTCTTTCCAGAGTGAAGTGAGAGAGAATCTCTCTAAAAGTTCCCTTTCTATTAAACTAGTTCAGAAGCTCAGAGAGCTCAAATCTGTACTTCCCCCTTTCAGTTTTGATCATCAAAAAATTCTAGCGGTATCACAGGAAATTTTAGAGTAATATTCTCATTTAGTTCTCTAATTTAAGAATAACAGCTTAGCTTGGCTGTAATTCACACAGGAAATGAATAAAAAAAATCACTGAATAGAAGGGGAATTTTATTTTTACCTCGTTGTGAAACAAAGCTTGTGCAATCTCTGTGAAACAAGGAGGGGGAGCACATCTAAGTCAAATGTTCAGGCCATTCAGGACACAGGAGAAAGTGACCACAGCCAATAGCCAAGCGTTTTGAACCAGGTCACAGGTGCATGAATAACGTCTGTTCCAAAGTCATCTCCAAGACAATGTGCAGTCTAATTCATGATCAGGACACTATTACTCTAGTTTATACAGTTCTAGGAATTTCTAATAGGTACATAATTAGCTAGAGGCAAGAACCTGTACGCTGAACAAGCTCAGGTTACATAGATTCACATCGGTCAACAGCGAGCCCCTAAAAAACACTCCTGAGTGCCACTGAATACTTTGCCTGCATCAGCAAATAAGGGCACTTTCTACATGACAGGGCTGCATAGCTCGTGGTAATGTTGCACAATAGTTCGTGCTTGATCTAATGCTGTGGCTTAGTTCTCATGCCACAGCAGCAGCGGTTGGCATGCAATGCATGGAGAGACTAGTGAGAAGCCCCGTCGGGACCCCGATCCTCTTCACACAGAGATCGTGGACCACTAGGCCACACCACAAGCGTAGGTTCCCAAGACTCCAACATGGATGTTTTTAGCCATTTGGGTGTGTTATTGTTTCTGCCAAGATGTAGACTGGTCACACTACCTCATTAAAGTATAGAAATCCAAAACAAAAGCAGATCGAAAGGCCAGATGATTGGCCCACAGATCCCATTCAGCCCAACAGCCTGCAGGTAAACACTACTGCCATATATAACCGTCCTATTTTTACTGCAGCGCAGACTGGCTGTGGGAACAGAGCAAGAGGCCGGCTCTCTCATTGCCAGACAGACAGAGTGGGCTGCCAGGCCTCAGCCCAACAACTGCAGGCCCTGTAAATGGGGAAAAAAACATCCGGTTCCTGGGACACAAAAGCACCAAAGGGCTTGACAGCAACGACAAGAAGGGAACATTGCTGTACTACCAAAACCAGTCAAGTCCCTCGTGTAGCAGAGCAAACAGCATCTGTCAAACCCCAACATTTACTCAATTCCTTTCTTCCGGTCTCTTGGTCTGAAGTTAGCACCTGTATATGACGGCACCACTGTTACGCTTTCCACAGGAAACAACTGTGTCACAGGCTGACACAACCAGCGTCAAAGTGCCCACAAATCGAAGAAAAGTATTCAGCTCCTGAGGAACTGCCTTTTTGTCACTGACTTCGGAGAACAGATTTGAGAGGACAGGCACCACAGCTGCACAGAGCCGAACACACAACATACCCAGGCAGCCTGAGTTCCAGTTTCGTTCTTGAAGATTTCATCATTCAGTCTTGAAGACAGGGCGAGCATTTGAAAGAAATTCAGTTTTAAAGGGGAACAGTGTTGTTCCTGGCTGCACAAACCCTACCCCACAGAGACATCAACATCGCCAGCAAAACACTCAGCATTCTGTCACATCTTTTTAGTCTGATCACTGCAATCAAAGTCACACCAGAGCAGGAAAGCAGATCACACTCCCGATGCACTGCAGGGCGATCCACTTCAGGTTTCATAAGATGCAGTTGTTTTGGTTTTTTTACACAAGCCAAGACCAGATGCTAGAGATTTCAAGCTTGTGACCTCAAGTCAATCAGCACCATTCAATATCAAGACATCTCTGGGTGCTGTTCACTAGAAATCTACTGACACAGGGAACGTTTTCAACCCTTGTCCTTATTTATAGAGAAAATGATCATTTAAACAAAAAATGCAAGAATAAAACTAACCAGTCCCTTCGGCCCCTCTGGATCAAAACCAGAACTCGTAGCTGCCCTGGTTAAGAGAGGGTTTAAACGCCCAACTGTTAAACCATAGATCCGCACTCTTGCCTGGCATCTCCCACCAGCACAACACCCCTCCAGAGCCCTCCGAATCCTCTCCTCTTCGTCCACAGACAAAGGCCATGTCCCCCAAGCATATCCAGAAACCCCCGCTGACCAGTAGATCACTGGGGCAGTGTTCTCAGGAGAGAGACTCAGACCGACGGTCTCAGTTGTCGAGTAACAAGCGGTCTGACTAGTGCTTCTCTCCACCTGGCCCAGACACGGCTGGTTCACTTGCAAACTGCACGTCAGGGAGCGGATTGGGGGCACATTTATAGACTCTGAGGAGTCAGTAAACATACAGAAACAGATTTCACTGCAAAGCCCCTTTCTGTCAGAACAAGGAAACAACTCATGGCCTGACTGGAGTGACACACTTTTTATATCAAACAATATACAGTATATCATCTAATGATTACATACTATCAGACTTTTTATCTTCGATCAAAATCAAACGAAGATTGTGGTCTTTAAATTGTTACCTGACCATCTGTCTCCCTCCAGGGTCAGGGGGATTCCAGCAGCAGGTCCAGACAAACTCTTTTCTGCCAGGCAGTCAGACAGCCAGGGGAATACCAGTGAAAGACAGCCCAAGCCCAGAAGTGGTGAACTAGGCAGATAACGAGCTCTGTTCCTCACTCCCGCGTCTACAAGCAGCTCAGCAAAAACTGACCTGATGTTAACTGTTTACCAGCCAAAGCAGCTCCTTTGCTCTTAAACATTTGAAAACTGAGCCACGCCCAATGCAGACACTCAAAAACGAGGCTGCTATACTAGAGGCAAACCTTAAAGTGAAAAACCGGTGAGGTTTGGGGGGTTTCTACTAATTTCTTCCTAATATGGCAAGGTTCTGAGTATTTTCACAAGATCGTATCTGTGGCAATAGGGAGAATGGCCCTGAGAACACACAGAGGAGCAACGTATTCAGACCCCTCTTCTGAAACAGTCTTCCTCACAAGATACCGTAACAGTCCAAATAATGTGTCCTACTGTAATCAGTCACCCAGAGCTGCCAATGACAACCAAAGCAGTGAAACGCTGTAACATGTGGGCAATGACAAAGACACGGCCTCTTTCAGGAAGACTGATTTGACTTCAGGGGATAAAAGCATCACTACTGCGAGAAATTAAGCTTAAACTCAGCTTGACCAAAAGGTTTTCTGCTATACTTATCCAGGAAGAAGTCTAAAAAGATTATGTAGATCCGTTTCTTTGATATCTCTATAATCTTGTAAGAACTCCCTTTTTCCCACAGCTAGGCACCAAAGATAAATATCTTCTTCAAAGATGGAACAACAACCCGATAGCATCTAACAAAACTGTGAAGCTAATTCCTTCCATTCACAGGAAACTTTTTTTTTTAACTGCTGGCTGGGGCTAATCCCATAATCACTGTTAACCCCTAAACTACAGGAACACAAAAGCAATGGACAAGACGCTCAAGCACAAAGTAAAACACCTGTTCTGTCTGAAGTGCCATGAGCTCTCCCTCCTCTACACTCTCAGAGCCCCCCTGCAGCAGGACCAGCTAGTGCACCTCTGACGCAGAGAGAGGAAAATGAGCCAGTCCGCCCACTGCCTGCCCCCAGCAGGAAGAGGCTGAGATCTAGCAGTGCTGATAAGAGGCACAGAGATGCTTCACGAGACAGTAGGAGAAAGTGCTACAAAACACCACCACTGAGCCAGAGTTGCATGGCTGGATAAAGCATGCATGCCTGGGAGACAACAAAAATCCCTATTCTCACCAATCACCTGCTCACACTTTGATAGCAATACTGGACAGCCGACTTGACATCCCAGCATGCACAGCTGAGCAATATCCACCTCCCCATTGGTCAGCAGTCTTGGCGGGCTGTGTCCTCCAAGCATGTCCCGAAATCCCTGCTGTCTGCACCTCTCCCAGTACATCACTCAGGCAGTGGCCTCAGGAAGAGGCTCAAAAGCGGGTAGCAGACTGTCTGACTGCTGTTTCTCCCACCTTGCTCAGACACTATGCATTCACTTTCTAACTGGATGGGTAGGGTGTGGTGTGCGACGGGGTTAGATTTATAGGTCCAGGGGTCAAAAAGGAGGGTAAATAAACATACAGCTACAGGACATTCCCCTAGGACTGAAAAAATCCCTTTTCAGTCTGCCCAATCAGATAACACAAAATCAAGAGGAACAGCCTGACTGGTGTGACTGAGATCACACAGAGGTTCATGACGAGACATGCCTGTGATGATTTATCAGCACTCTGTGACTGACTGATTCACCTGGGCAAAGAGAGGAAAGGTTTCTCACAAACTGTACCTTTGTTTTAAAAATTATAATTCCTTACATTTATATAGCGCTTTTCCGGACACTCCACTCAAAGCGCTTTACAGGTAATGGGGTCTCTCCTCCACCACCACCAATGTCCAGCATTCACCTGGATGATGCAACGGCAGCCATAGTGCACCAGTACACTCACCACACACCAGCTATCAGTGAGGAGGACAACAGAGTGATGAAGCTAGTTCATAGGACTGATTGCATGTTTAGAAAAACCAATTACAAAACCTCAAGGCATTTTTCCTGCCCCTTCTGATGCGGCTCCTCCTGGTAAACGCTGTCGATATAGTTAAAAGTTTCCTGCATCTCGAGGAGCAAGGCTCCATTCCAGTCTTGTCCAAAAGAATCATCTTGCGTGATCCTACATCTGCAGCATTAACCCCAAGCAATAACCAGCAAGTCTTCAGAAGGTTGTTCAACACACAACACAAGGTCTACATCAGCAGTGACTCTTGCGCCAGACGCTGCAGAGATCTCAATCAGATCGCTATCTGAGAACACAGCTCATCATAAAGTACTGCGCAATCCTTAGCGGTCTTCAACCATCTTGGTCTATTAATAGCTGGTTTGAGGCAGTCAGTGTCTTACTATGTAGCAGAAGAGGAAGCCTGCTAGTATCAGAACCAGAGCAGCAATCCAGCCTCAGCCACTAATGTGGAGACAGGGAAGCTGATCTTACTCCAGATCGGGGGGGGGGGATTCCAGCAGACAGTGCCGACAGGCTATATATATATGCACAGTATTTGTGTGTATTTAAAAAAGATTAATTCTTAAAGTGTCTCAAAGTCACGCCATCTGCACATCTCATTCATCAGCAAGTGAAGCAGGCTCATCACAGCACACGCCATGCTCGGGCGGGAACCCACTGTTCTTTGGTTCCGTTTGTAAAGGGAGATTACAGTGCCTTGCATTTTTCCCCATCACCTCCACAAGTCTCTCAGGACTTGTTCCATTACCATTATGTTCCATTCTTTCTCAGGTGATTGAGTGTGGCCCATTTAACCTGCTGGGCTCCGTTGTGCCCCCAGACCCAGACTGGCCATTCTGGTATACGATACCCACAACTTCATCCAAGCAGAACTGGCACAGGAGTCAACAGCACAGGAAAGAGAAGGGAAGCCAGTGCCTGGAAATTACCCAAACCACAAGTGGCGACTGATCTGAAACAAGCATCTCGCAATCCAGAGAAATCGAGTAAACGTAGACGGTTTTCAACTAACGCATGTCCAGAGGGGGAAATAAAACAGTACAGGATGTCCGAGTCCAAGGCAGAGCTCAGTAGAGCACAGCTGGTTACAGGCTCCGTGTCTCCAACAGGTCATTTCCACACCGGAGATCCCCACTTACACCGTGCGCTTCAAGACGTTTAGGACCTGGCCAGGATGCAATGTCAAAAAGGAAGCTGGGGTGCAGATATAAGTCCTTGCCAAAACTGCAGCACATATCCTGGCAGGTCCGGAGGTCCGCAAAACCTGGGTTCCGGAGGGGCCACAGGCCAGCGCCTTTTACAGGCCTTTATAAATCGCACGGCACTTTTCTCAATTAATAGCTCACTTGGAAACACAGATGTGCCACTGGCCTGTCACATCGATCATCTCATCTAGAAAAATCCATCCGAGGCAATGCTGCATGGAAAAAGGCCCAGCAGAACCCAAAGCTACCCAAACCCACCTCAAGAGGAGGACAATCTACTCCTGTATACCTGTAACAGCTAGACCAGTGAATCCTTAGCCCTGCTCCAGGGTCACCCGTGATCGTTCTGCAACAGTTCTTCAGAAGGAATCACTTCCTTAACTGAACAAGTATTAATACTTTTCCCTCATCTAAAGCAAGTGGCGTTAAAGTGCACTATCAAAGCTGCCGGGCTGAGGAACATCGAGCCGGACTCTAGGAATAAGCTCACAATAACATCAGTGTATTTTAATTTCAAGCACATGGGAGACACTTCACTCATTACTGCTTGCCCGTCACAGTTGAGAGGTCCCAGTCCTTCCAGAACCTGTTTCAGAAAAGCCCTGAGCTTTACCAAATGGCCACCTTTCAGCTGCAGATTCTGCCCAGCAGGGCACCCATAATATACCCCCTCTCCCAACCCCGCGCCCACAACCCTCAGACACCAGGCCAGCTGGCTGTCTATAAAACCCTCCTTGGCCTCTCCCTACTAACAGCTAAACAGCACAGCGCCGAACCAGTAAGACTCTTGTACATTAACCAGCGCAGGAAAAAATGCATTTAAAATAAACACCGGCTCACAAGACCTGCTGTCTCTCATTAGGATCTGAAGCGAGGCCGTCGGCCTCCACACGCCCCCAAGGACTTGCAAAAGCACTCGTTTCCCACGTCAGCGTGGGAGTGGAAGGACTGCGGCATGTCAGGTACAATTACAATTAATGATGCTGAAATGGAGGGGGGAAACAAGAGCAACTAAAGTGATGATTTAAAATACTCAAAAAGCAAATGAGTGCAATGAAATAATGGGACCTTTCCGGGTTTTCTCCACATCCACGAGGAAATGACTTATTTACCACCACAAGGACCCCTAGTTAAAATATGGACAGTCTCTGGGAAACCCAAGGTTAAAAAACCTGCTGGCATCACACTGGAGAGAAGAGCGCTGCTGAAGCCCAGTCGACCATCACATCAGAGCTGAAGATGTAGGAAGCTGAAAGGTTTTGATCATCTGATGAATCAAAACAGCCTTTACTGCAGTTTCTCTCATTGTTTGATCGTTCCCCTCAACAATCAAACACCTTGTAAAACTTCCTAAACACACCATTACGGGAGCTGGTTACAGGCTATCACACCAGGCTTGTTTCCCACAAGCCGAACACTGACGGTGTCCTGTACGGAAGACAAGTCAGGCTGCTGAAGCCAGGGATACTGCAGCAACAGCTGGTAGAGTATCTACACATCGCTTTGGAAGAAAGCTGTCAATCCTATTTCATGCATGAGGAGGAGGAGTATCAACAGAAAAAGCAGTGTGTGTGCTGTATCAAGACATTCCGCTATTTCATCCCACAGGAAATCCCTTTACCAACCGGCTCTTTCAATGTGGAACTCAAAGGCTGAAAGTTGAAGCTGAAAAATCCTAAGAGATATAAAACATACTGAAGTGAAACTGTTAAATTGTGCAGGTCTTTCCACTGGCTGGCAAACAGCATCAACGTCATCTGAATGCTTACAATCAAGCAGGATGTGTTAATTGTAAACGTACAACTTGTTGAAACTTGGACAAACATACCTATAATATTTACACTACGTTCAACAAGAGATGCCTTGAAGGCAACAAGGCTCAGCAGAGCCCTTCCTATTCGCTGTGCCAGCAACTAAC